ATAAAGTATTCCTGTGTGAAACTCATTCACTCTGTCATTATAGCTGCTGACAGAACCTGATCATTTAAGCACTGAAGCAAAAATAAAGTGGGGTTTTTCTGGACTTTTTTCAGCGTAGTTTTGTTCATTTGTATTTATCTGCAATGCTTTTATGTGTAATTTTTTTTCTCCTTCTTTCATTTTCAGAGATGCCATCATAAAATTATTCTCACTATGCATCTAGGAAGCCCCGCCCTCTAGGAACCCCCGCCCTGTTCTCCCACCCCTCTGAGTCACTACCTGTCTGACCAATCAGGACACAAGGACACGTTTATGTTAGGCTTTTGTTAACAGTTTATAATGCAGCTGGAGAGTTCATAGTGCCTGAATTTCTTTAATTGGTTTCTATTTATTTTCAGCAGTAAAGAAACAGTTTATTACAGCATCTAATGCAGCTGTACGCAGATCTAAGTGTTTACTCACTGAACTATTCTCTTAAGTGAATAATTATCAAACTGTTTTGGTAGAGCTGGACGTCTGGGTTTGAGATCAAAATGTGACAGTTTAACTTTGTTTAGCAAATTAGTCAACAGAAATCAATGATTTTAATCATCAGTAAAATATTTGAGTAAATCTTTTTAAGCTGAAATATTAGAAAAATCACCTAAACATGATTAAACTGTGTAAACTTTATTAACCTTTGCTTTTGGGGGGATATTATGTAGATAATCATATTACTAATAATTCAAACAATCAAAACAGGCAGTAAACCCCTTATAAATCTTTTATTCTTATATAGGGTAAAGGACGTATACCAAACGTCTACTGCAGAGGCCAGGGTTTGAGTCTGACCTGCTCTCCTGACAATAAAGACTTGAAGACAAAAATAAATGTTTATTTAAAAAATAAAAACTCAAGAAGAAACACTCAGTATTTTCTTACATGAGTTTAAAATTCAGCGAAGCAGCTGCATTAGTATGTGAGATAAACCAGGTCCCACGTGTTTCTCTTCTATTTTTAATATTGATTTGAAGTGTTACTGATGTTCGCATCTTCCTGTTTTGTTTTTTTGTTTTTTGTCCTAAAATTTCAATTTTCCTGAAGTTCTTATCACAGCACTTTCCAACTCAATATCTGTGACAAGACGTCATTACATACATTTGAACAAATTAACATTTTTGGTGCAGTATGGGTTTGTTGATTCAGCTCATCTGATTCCCATCTTAAGTTTTCCATTCACAAAAAGACCATTGTGAGATATTTAGTTTGAATTTCTACTGCCAAGTCTCCAGGGGGCGATGCAGATTTGATTTTTTTTTTTAAATTTTTTTGGGCTTCAGTTGCAAGACAGAAACAAACTCTGGTCTGTGGAGGTTCGTTTCCATAACTGCAAAAAAAACCCCAAAAAACATCACAGGCAGCTCTAAGTTATTATTTCAAAATCTAGAATTGCATATTTTTAAATTTCAAATTCTTAATGAGCTGAAATTTTGACTTGCAACTAATTTTCAATTCATTAATAAAGTCTTTTTCAGTGGTGAAAACAAGCTTCCATAGTGGCCACGACTGCATTCAGGAGCATCAAATGTTAGGTACTCGTTGCTGTGTTTCCAGCACAGCTGCACATAAACGGATCAGCGTTCTGTCACCACACGGTGTGCGCTCACTTCTTCTTTTGATCATTTTACTTTTTAAATGGATGTTTTGCCTTAAAAGTCAAAGTGTTTTCTTCTTTACTGTAATTTGTATATTTTATTTTTTGCAGGATTACATGATTTTAATACCAAATCTTGGTCATAGAGTTTCACGTGTTAGAACAAACTTTTTCTCAGGTGAAAAAACCATAATCTCTTTTGTTTCGTCTCACTTTGAACTTGGTTATCTGCTTCTTTTTAAATTGGTTTGCACATTTTTCCTCATCCAAGAGTCAATGTTTTCATATTTATCCTCTAGACTTTATTTAAGGAGCTGCTTTCTTTGTCTGGGCCCGGAGTTCGCAGATATTTAACTGAAACAGTCTATAAACTGCAGTCCAACATTTCATTTTATTTCAGTATGGACGAGTAAACAATGCTTTCATTGAAAAAGAGTTAAAATGACTTAAATCCACTCTCCATTAAGTTTTTCCAGATGTGTTTTAGTTTCATTGAGATTTGGAACAGCTGTTTTTGGGTTTATCAACCCTTCAGAATTTAGTTTTCCTCATTTGCGTTGCCTTACAGACGGTCATTTAGTCCTTTTAACCACACTACAAAGCTGTGACTGAAATTTAGATGCTGGAAGCTGCTTTTAAAACTGGTCATGGATTTCATGGTCCTCTCCTGCTTTCCTTTATTTTCTGTTCCATGACAGCGTCAGACCCTCATAATAAATATGGCTGAAGTTTCAAACAATGACATAGACCTATGTAAAAGTAAAGACTTTGACAGCTATGAATATTTTGTTTTCTAACAATACAGCTGTGGATGTTTCCTCTTCAGGGTTAGTTTGAACTGAATCATGCAGTTCTACTTAAGTAGAGTCCCTGATTAAATATAGGAATAGAGCAGAACAGGTCAGCTTTATTTAACTTGCATTTTCACTTTTAAAGGTTGTGAGGTTAAAATATTTTTAGCCGAAATGTTTTAGTGCAACTTTAAATCTTTTAAAACTGTATTTGTTTTGTCTGTCTGCAGTGTTAAACTGTGAAATTGTTACTGATTTTATTTCAATAAATGCTTCTGTATTTAAGAAACTGCTTACGTGAATATCATTCAGCTCAACACAAAAACTTCCCTTCATGAACTGGCGTGTGTGTGTGTGCGCGTGTGCGTGTGGGCGTGTGCGTTCTCTTTACCTGCCTCCCTGTTTTATGCCAGTTAAGTCTCTAAAGCCTGTAATCTCCACCCTTCACTGCCTGCTGATTAAAACACACACACACTCCCTTTTTAAGGCTCCATGCACTGTCCAGATATCGGATGTCTTTCCAGATGTTCCCCACTTGGATCTGACCTATTCTCCATTACATGCTGCTCTCAACAGCTTCTGGTGTTTTTCTTCAACACTGTCATATGACATTTAAATGTGCGCCAGGGAGGCGATTGGTCCAGTGACGCCTGTTTCGTTTTAGGTGATTAATCGGTTGATTAAATGGACGCTGATGTCATGTTCAGGAAACTGTTCAGAGAATATTCCCACCCCTTTTTTGTGCATTTCATGATGAATAAATAAAGTTAACGTTCTCCTCTTAATGTAGAACAAATAACTTACTAAAACAACATAGTTCAACAAGTTGTGCTGTATATGTCCAACTTGACTTAAGAGTTTTTGAAAGATGAACGTCGAGTTATGTGGACGTTTACAGTGTTGATTTCCTGTCCATCCGTGCACATTTACCGGTGAAGCATAATTCAGACGTCAGATGACTGAACAACCTCAAATGGCTTCTTTCAACACAAAGGAGTAGCTGCTTTACTACCAGCATTTTTCAATTAATCCTGTGATAAAAGTACCAGCCCTCATAAGTTATTCAGCAGTATTGTTCATGCCAGTTGGCACTGTGCTGACCTCAAAGTTGTTACTACATCGTAAGTGGACTAGTTCTTGTATCTACCTGAGCAAAAAGTGCCTTTAACAACCTCACATTGTCTAATTAACACAAGCACTTTTCCATATGTCTCAACTATGTTCTATCTAACAATAACAGTCCAATGAACACATCAGGAGCTTTCATGCCACAGCATACTTTGGCTACTAGACTGGAGCAGCCATGACACAAATCATTCATCTGCTAATTGTCAAGATCATCAACTAACCAAGTATCAAACCAAAGTTTCACCAATCAGCTGTATTCACTTGTAAAAGCCACAGGTAGTTTAGCTAGCAGCTATCTGAGTCCTTGCTTTCTATTCAACATCCATTGTTAAGGAATTTATGTAAATGTAATGAATGTAAATGAAATCAAGCCAGTAGAAACTTTTGCTTTCTACATAAGCAGAGTACTTGTTTGTTGACTTGACTTGTTAAGAGAACTCCAACTCCAAACAGAAACCAGAGCTTCCAGTATCAGAGCTCACGTTCTGGACATGCAGAGACATCATTTTCATAAAGAGCGATCTGTTTGCAAGGTTCATGGATGGACTTCAGACAGCTTCTAGATAAGTAAGTAGCTACATTTTTTTTAGTCTGAATATTTTTGTGAGTGAGAGATTTGTGTTTTCCGTAAATGTGCAAAGACACAAAGGCCTATAGGTTGGAAGGTGACTGCCTGGTAACTACCATTGTGTACTGTGTATACCCTGATCGACGGGAAAGTGGTTTTTGGCTGTCGTTAAGTGAAAATGGTTGCAGAAAACGTATATAGACCTTGTGATTGCTTTGGTCACAGTTTGCCACAGTTCCCCGTGGAAGATGCCAATTTGTCTGCAAACACTACCAAACCACAGAGCCATAGATCAAAAACAGAAAGTTTGCTTGTCAAAATAAAAGTTGCCTGTTTTAAATTGTGTTGCTTGTCAGCAGTAAGACAGAGCTTTGAAGATAAACAGTCTCCATTTTCAGTTTGTCACACTTTTTTTTTTATGTTTTCCTACCGCACGGTTAGTAGTCAGCTGGTGTTTGCAGATAAATCGACATCATCCATGCAAACTGTTTCAACCTCCAGCAACCACTCACTAACCAGTCAGGGAATATGCATGTTTAACTGGGGAATGGTGGTTGCAAGGGGGTCAGCCACTGGTCTCTGACTGAGGCCTTAAATGGAGATGTATGAAAAAAACATGCATATGCCTGCTGTGGTGAGCCTGTGGGGCAACCAGGCAACAGTAACTTTTATTAACACTGTAAATAAGACAAGGCTGAACTTTAGACCGTTGAAAACCCAAACAGCCAAACATTCCTATATGATCAGTACTTGGTGATGGTGGGAAGGCAGAACTCCCTTATAAAAGGAAGAGACCTCCAAGGGAACCAGGCTTAGAGAGGGGCAACCATATAATTTATTCATGCTTGATTTGTTCTCCTCAAACTTCAAACTAAAGTTGCTCTAAATAAAGGTGCTGCTCTCACAGCTTCAACAAACTACAAGGCCAGTGTTTCAACTTTATTCACTTTCTCCTGCTTTTCTGCTCTTTCTCATCCACTTCTAGGTGTTTATAAAAATCTTAACATGGAGGTTGGTTGCCATTTTACATTTACGTTCCTGCATTAGTTTGCAGATTAGATTAAAGATTTGTGCTCGTTTTTAGATTCATCATTGTGCTCGTCCCTTTTATGTTTGCTATTTTTTAACACTCCCTCTTCCTCACTTTTACTGAAAGCAGTTTTTATAATTCAAAGGACAGTTAAACAATCTGTGGATTAAGTGTGAGTGGCCGAGTGAGGTAAATCGTCCGTGTGTTTGAAAGGAAAAGAGACGGAGAGCGTGTGTGAGTGTGTAACGGGGAGAGAGAGAGAGATGCAGAGCGAGGTGTAGTCAGACTGAAGCCCTCTGATTGTCTGTGATGTGTTCAGTCAGATGCTGAGCGGCTTCACATCACAGTCAAACCTCCATCCTTTCGTCTCCCTGTTCATCGGAAACATCCCGTTAGGATAAATTCAACTGTTCGGCTCGGTGCCCAGTGTCACAGGTAAGTTTATATTCAGCTTTTTATACACCTGTAGTTTCACCTATTATTGACCTACAGAGATGTCCATTATAGTTAAGCTCAAGTAGAAATGTTGTTAGACAATTCCAAGATTTTTGTTCCAGGAATTTCAAGGAATTTCTGGATAAATTTGCAACTGATGGAATTAAAATTTATTAAACAAAAAGTAAGTTTTTACTTTTTGTGTGTTTTTGCACATGGGCAGTAAAATGTGTCAGCTGTCATTCATGTGCTTTTTATTTTAGGATTTTAAATGTATTTGTCATCTGTTTTTTCCCCTTTTTTGTTAACAGTGTTTACTTTGAAATCACCAAGAATTAACAATTCATTATCTGAATGTTACATAATGATTTACATATACATTTAATATATGAAGTAGACTGAATACTTCCTTTCAGTAATAAAAAAATATTTTTAGGAGTTTTTTCATCAAATTTAAATACATGGATGTGTGTATCATTAAAAAAGTCCGCTTTACACTGGATTATATTTTTTACTCACTAGAGATAAATAGTCTGAAGCTGTTTGAATTTTGTTTCTTGAAATTATTTTTAATATTATTTTAATATTATTTTTAATATTAAAAAATTCAAACCTTTAAAACATTCAAATCTTTAAATAAATCATACAAATTCTTTGACGTGATTGTGTATCACATAGAAATCTTTCCCATAAGTGAACATGTGAATGCGAAGAGATGTATATATGCTTTCTGTCAAATTCAGTAATTGCACCTATGTAAAATAATTTTCTTAACATGTTTGGGTTGTAATTTCTATTAAACGTGCATTTAAATGTGCCAAAAAATATTAATATTATATATATATATATATATATTTACTAACCATTGAAGGTCCTAATCTAATAACAATAATGCATTTTTTAAAAAGAGAGCTAAAGAATAAACAGAGGATTTCATGTCTTAAAAACCTGAAATCAGACCTCAGAGTGTTTGAAAAGGTCCTGGATGTTTCTTTGTCCTGGTGTAAACTGACGCAAAGTCTTTTTTCCCCTGAAGCATTTTCAAACAAATCTTAGGTTAATTTGGTCAATTTTCTAATTATTATTATTAACTAGAAATGGGAAGTTATGACAATATTGTTTTTTTTTTCCTATTTCTGATCATGAGGCAGGTATTAAATCACCCTCAGTGGGGTTTAAAAGGTCCTGTGGTTAAAGTGGTTACTAACAACAGCAGCAGTGTTAACAGACAGAAAATAAACTAACAGAAAAATTATACTCCATTAAATGTCTGTTAACTTCTGCTTATTATCCCCACTTTTATCCTGTGTGTGTTTTCTCAGCTGGAGCGTCTGCTGTCTGAGCGGACAAAGAAAAGCTAGAAAAGGAAGCTTTTGAATAAAAAAGAAAACAAACCAGCTGAAATCCGCAGATCTCAGAGGTGATTTTTGGTAGACTCTGCACTCTAATAATCTATATTTTAATTGTTTGCAGAGTAAATTCTTTCTGGTAGGTTTTCAAAGTTTTGTATCCAAATATCTGACATTTTCTTAAAGCCAATTTTACCTTCTTATTCACAATCTTGGGTTTTGTTGTTGGTAAAATTTTGATCAAACGTCCTGTTTTTGAAACAGAGTGTTCATTCAAGCCATCAGCCCAAAGTGTACAGATGGCATGTTAGATTTAGATATGCACAAAATACACTGCTATGCTGTGAACTATGGAGCAATTTGAGGCAAAAATAAATCCATAACCCTAAAAAAGAAATCAGTAGTTCAGTTTGCCCAATTTGCATGTGATAACTGTGCATAAATGGACATGACAATACAATAAATCGATCTACTGATGGTGTTTAAAGGTATGTGTTATAAGTTTTTATCCTTCAGTTTATAATCAGTCATTTTCATTCTTGTTTCAGGCATCGTTTCCTTCCAGGTCCATACTAAAAGCCAAGTAAGAGTCTCATTGAAAGACAAATGGTGTTGGGTGTGCAGATGCTTCTGACTGACAAAGTAAAAGACTTTACAATTTTGTTGACCCCTTTGTGTCACTTTCAGTCTGT